CCCCCCCTCTCCCAAGTGAGTCCCCCAGTTCTTTACCCAATGAACTGTTGAATTAAAATACAGACCCAAATTCAAATCCGGGTGCAATCAGATGAATAGAATAAGATAATTGATCATAATTCCGAATAATAACCTGGCCCCGGGCCCAGGTTATTATTCTGGAATCAGAATGAGATCTCAGTCCTTCGAGACATCCGTTAAAATTGAAACGATACAGAGAAGGAAGCTTAGCATGGCCCCTGTGCAAGGATGACACGCATGAATCGAGAAAAGGTCTTAAAAGGGTAAAAAAAAAAAAAAAAAAAAAAAAAACTTGTCAAGGCCATCACTCTCAAAAAAAAAACAGATAGATGGGAGGCACAGCTACTGACAAACTGATCGGTCTTTGCGTTAGCCGCATCCCGACCTGGCCGGCGGCCCCACCCTACTCCCTGACCACTGCCGAGTAGGGCAGGGGGCAACAAGCATCCCCTTAATTGTGAGAGGTAGCTATGCCTGCAGGGGTCCCCTGTATAGGCGTAGGAGCAGTGGTAGGTAGGTAGTGAAAGGGGAAATTGAGAGAAGAATCTACTGGCTTAGTTCCAGGTAGCCAGCGCTCGGGTTCGGCCAAACAGCCGAATGATTGGCCCCCCTTGGAGACGTGTTCGGCCGAACCCGAAGGCCAAAAAAAAAAAAAAAATCATCTTATGCCGAAAAATAAACTGAACAACGTTTGCCTCGTGGTCACATAAAAATTCTTTACCAAATGTAAAACAAAAAATAAAAAATAAAATATTATTTTACTCTTTATTTTTTTTGGGCCCGGTCGGTCAAAAGGTCCTCGGCCACTCTGGTAGCCTATAATGTTTTTTTTTTTTCACTTTGGATCACCAGCTACTTAATTTATTGACTGATTGAATTGATCATTGATTGATTATTGGATAGAGAAAAAAAAGAGACTCCGCACGTTAGTGTGTGTGAGACTTCCTTTCTCTCTCTCTTCTCCCCGTCCCTCTCTTTCCCCCTTTCTTTCTCTCGCTGTCTTAAAGTCTCCCCCTCTCTGTCTCTTTCCCCACCTCCCTCTCTCTTCGCCCCCCCCTTCTCTTTCTCTCTCTCTCTCTCTCTCTCTCTCTCTCTCTCTCTCTCTCTCTCTCTC